GGGGGGGTTTTTTTTTTTTTTTTTTTTTTTTTTTTTTTTTTTTTTTTTTTTTTTGGTACGTCAAGCCCATAAATGATTTGTCCAGGCAAATGGGCAACATGTCGAACTGACGTCGTTTGTCCATTTGGTCGGAGCTGTCGAATCGTGCAATAGATATTAATAAATATTGAAATATGGCCAGAGAAATACATGCGATGGCTCGATTAATGACAAACGACAACAAATCGCTGCCCGGGCCCCGGATTGCCCAATCGATCGATCGATGGATCACTTGGTTAGATCGCTTTGGATCGTCGCATATTGTGCGCTGCTCACCTTTGGCGTCAGTTGCTATCTCTGAATTAATTTGTAGCCACGTTTGACCAATTTGTCTTTAGTTTTTTTTTTCTTTTCTTTTTGTTCCCTTTTTTTGTAATTTTGATATTTGTCATTTTTTTGTTTCTATTTTATTTATGCATTTATATTTTTTTGGTGCTGTCGTGTTTGAATGACAATCGGAGCGGTTTGATAAGCGACTGGGACTGTGCATGGAAAACGGAAACGAAATCGAAAACCCACAATTGACTGACTGAAAAACGAATCCAAATACGAGCGAACGAAGTTATCGAACCGGGTGTGCATGACTAGCTGATACCGTGCACTGTGATCCATTACTCAACGGATGCTTGAGTAGAGGAGATTCGAGATTGTTACTCAGATATACAAATTTGTTCAAGATAGCTCTGTGATGATTAATGGAAGATAAACTGATTTGGAAAGCGCATTTCTAGCGATATAAGGAATAGAGTTGAAGTTTTCGGAAACAATAACTCTAGTGGAACAGAGAGAGAAAGAGACTGACATTAATTAATTGACTCTGTTCTTCGTTATGAATAAGAATATACTATATTTATATTATAAATATTTACAAATATATAAAGAGTGAGTGTGCTCTAGTTGGTAGATATATAGATCGTTCCGTTTATAAGGTCATGGAATACATATATCAGGACTACATATATACATTCATACATGTATACCTCTATATATGCCTCCACTAGAACAGAAACTAAATATAGAAAACCCATTTGATGTCTTTCTTGAACAATTTTACAATTTACTCTTTTTGCCATACTGAAATTCGTATCATCTATAGCTAACAAAGCAACAATATCCTCCCTCCATTGCAGGGTATAGCAGTAAAGTGTAACCGAATTACCTAGCAACGCGAATCCAATCAAAATATTATGCGACAAACTGTGCGTCACTTTTTCTTTTGGCAAACGGCCCAAAAGCCATTTGAAATTCTTGACCTACGACATGCGAGAGTCTACCATATGTGCAACTGTATATATAGACATACATATATATGTATGTCTGCTCTATAGAGCTGTGAGTGTTGCTTATTTGCGGACATCTGCGCAATGTGACATGACGAAACGTTTTTTTTTTTTTTTTTCGGTATATAGATAGATATCGGACGCCCTAAAGGCGCGTTGCCTGTGATTCAGATCCGCATTCGTAGAACCAATGATTAGGCATCTATATAGCAACATATTGTGTACATAAATGTGCAAGTGCGTATGTGTGTGTGTGTGTGCTTAGAGAATGACTGTTTGTATTTGTGGGCTGTGAATTTTTGGCGCCACGTAATGCCCGATAAGCCAAATCTGAATGGAACAACATGTTGGGAAAGTGTCAAGAATTTGTCAACGGGAAAAAATTGATAAGTGTTACGCATAGCCTATTTGATAAAACCCGATTAGGCTTTTCTCTGAAAACTAGCCATAGATGTTCCCTTAAGAGTTACTTCTCATATGAGCAGAGTCTTAAGAACATAGAAGACTATATCGTATAGCTATACCGGAAGCATCGATCGCAATCTCGCTTGCTCTATATATTTACGTATGAAACTCGGTCTTTAGACTACTTACTACGACTTTAAGTTGCTATAAAAATTCTGGCTGGTTCTCTTCTTATTCTTCTCCCTATATATTATAGTAGAACATAATTAGTTAAATTAACTTACCGAGTTGATGTTGCGTGTCTACAAAACGTTAATAACTTTTATATTTGTTATTTTAATGGAACCTAGAAGACAGAAGAAGGTGAAGAAACACATTAGCAATATGGTACGAGCTGGAATAAATATAAAACTAAAGGTAAACACTATAATGTGACATCATGTAAGAAAACACCGACTGCGTACTACTCGCTCACGGCAGTATACCAGATCAAAGTGGTTGGAAGGCGTTCGAATAGGTTCAAGCTATAGTTGTAGAGGATGTTAACAGTGTTGGAAAACTTTTGAATTTATACGTGTTTGCCTGATATGAAATACCCCCCAAGGAATTAGTTATAAACTCAAGAGAAACATTTACTTAGGTAAAATTTAAATTATATTTGATGTGTTAAGGAATTGATTGCTTAAAAAAGATAATATCTGTGGGCTATATCGGAGCAGACTACATACATCTTCTATATATGTATGTATATGCCTAACTTTCTAAAACATCTCTAGTTTCTTAAGGACAATAGGGCATTATATAATACATTAATCAATCTCATAAAGCAAATACTTAAAGCGGTAAATGATGTTCTATATACATACATACATATATATGTATATATAGGATATATATGTATATTTATAAGTCAATAAATATAGGCGTTAACGTGGCTTTTATGGCCTACGTAAATAAGCGATGAAATGCGCGAAAAGCTACAAATGCGATTCATTATGAATACACCAGGGAGAGAGAGAGAGAGATGGCTTGAGTTGGAGAGAGAAAGATAGATGGGCAGACAGACAGACAGACAGATAGACTACTCATGTACCAATATACAGATGTACTGATGCATGAGTGCGAATACAACAGATACAACTCGTCAGCTTCGTGTAGGCTTGTTTTGCAATCAAGCATACAAACACACACACGCACACACACACACACACACAAAGTTTTAGCAATAAGCTAAAAGCCGACAAATGTTTGACAAGCGGAAATGGCAAAAAGCACAGCAAACACGCGCAAAGCACAACAAACAACAAAAACATCAAAAACATTTGGCGATAAAGCGACAAACCTATGCGAAAAAAAAAAAATCAAGCAACTAAGAACAGCAAGAAGAACCAACAAAATAAATCCTTAGACTTCCAGGAATGATCTACGAGTAAGAAAAAAAAACTTGAGAACTACGATCATAGGTAAGATTTGCAACTAGCTAATATTTGCTCAATGTTCTTTTCTAGCTTTAAGATGGAATATTAATTTAAGTTTAAGTCCCATACTTTGAAAAGTGAGCTATATCTAAGGAATAAACCTAACCTGTATCACTGAAAAACCCCAATATTGAATGAAAATGAAAATTGTCGTAGCATATCATAAAGTTTTAGACTCAACTAAGCCGTAGTTTCAAAGGTCTATCATCTATAAATATCAATTCATCTATAATAATTCAGCTTCCAGTTTTTACCTCAAGGCCCAACCTAACTTTTCAAACGGCAAACTCAGCCAAGCCCAATTAACACCTTTTCCCTACGAGTATCGTGGGCCTTGAGTGTTTTTGGAACTAATTTCCATTTGTTTTTTTGTTAAATTTTACGCAAAATTCATTCAGTGGCCCATCCTAAGTGTGAACCTAACCTCAAAGCTGACAAAACGATTCCCGTGAAGCGGCGTGACAAAGGTCGATTGATGCGCTTTAGGCTGCTGCAGGTAAACTGCACTGGGCAGGGTCAACACGCACGGTTGGGTGTTAATGAATGACCCTGCATAAGCATTAATGCTTGACCTTTGGCTTGGTCCTTGATTTCACTGTATGACTCTGTGTGTGTGTGTGTGTGTGTGTGTGTGTGTGTATTTACCTGCGCATGCGGTCATCAAGGTCGCAGCCTGAACAGCTGACATGACTCAATCTGCCCATCTGGCCTTTTGACAACAATAACTATACCATATTTTTACTTAGCGCACACGCTAGGCCCATGACTCATCAAAGCTTATTTCTGCCCAAGTAACGCCCAATCACCATATCCCCATGCTACTATATGGGCTAAGCTCTTTTTCCTGTTATGCAGTAAAATGAATTCTTTATATGTATGTACATATATATGTATAATGATTGTAGTTGTAATTGAATTCAAAGTCTTATCAGAGCTATGGGAGTTTTATAGCTATATATAATTATGTAGAGGATATAGTATGTATATATTAAAATGTATATATTTTTAATAGATTATTAGTGGTTTATAGGCATACAATATTATATATTGTATGTAGTATGTATGTAGTAATAATAAGTAGTAGTAGTAGTATGTAGTATGTAGTAATAACAGTATAATACTGTAAAGTCATCATGTAAATAATCCGAGGTCTCTAAAATGAAATCTATATTTTAAATTTGCAGAGTCTAGATCTTTACTACTCTAGCTCTAAGATAAATCATTTTATAGCTGATTTTCAATATGCAACAAAAACAGGAGTTATCAATTTTTAGAAATAAACTCGATCTAGTTGTTATATCTTCTGACAGACGGACTAAATGGATTCAATTTGTCGCCCTGATCAAGATTATATATGTATATACTTTATGGGGTCTCCCACGACTCCTTTCGCCTGTCACATACATTTAAGAAAACCGTTATACCTCGATTTCCCAGTTTTAATGGGCTCAGAGTATAATTACATTACAGTTTCATTTAAGAGAACATTTTACGCTGACGCATGCATTATAAATCATAATATTATATTATCATAATATTAGCTATATAGAAAAATAGATAGATATACATAATCTAATAGAAAAAGCTTTATAAAAAACAAATTAAATAATATTCTTTTATGACCAAAACTCTTAAACTTAAGACTTCTGGTTTAAAATATGCTTTAACTCTAGTGGGGCGTAAACTTCTATGCCCAACTGTTCGTATGTGTGTGTGCGTGTCTGTGCAAGTGCAGCTATAATAGATGCATAAGTAGGTGGGTTTCTGCAGCCTATTGCCCATGCACTTAATGCAGCACATTCCACAGCACACACACACACACACACACAAGCGGAGAGTGAGAGAGACAGAGCTGTAGTACACACACACAGACATACACGTAGCTAGACAGTTATTGGGTGGCCAGGCAAATGGATAATGGGCCAATATAATAATAATAATTTTGGCAGCCAAAAAGGAAGAAAACTGCAAGAAACTATTGGCAATTTTATTGTTCGAAGCATAATCGCGTTTTCCATTTGATTTGTTTGACTGCGCGACACGCAAATCGATGGTTGCCACCCTATAACAGCAGCAACAACAACTATCGAATATAAAAAATATATACATATACATGCATACATATATATGTATGTATAAAAAAAAAAGGAATTACGTTAAATTCTGCGCTTACTTTGCTGCACGCGACGCAGACGACGAAAAATCGCGAAAACTGATGGCAAAAAAAAACACAGCCCAAACACACCGACAAGAGCAGAAAAAAAAACGCACGACACACACACGCACACACACAATAACAGACCTCTATCGACAAGGAAGCACGTTATTATAACGGTAAATGTGCTAAAATTTCGTTTGATTCGCCTAACTAAACTAAAACAATCAAACAAAACCACAGCCGAAATACAAAACAAACAAAAAACAGAAGAAAAAAAACAAAAACAAAAAGCCAAAAACGTAACAACAACAAGATGAAACGGTTAAAGTAACGGCAACGTCGTCCACGACCCGCGACGCTGACGTTGACGCTGGCGACGTCCGTGCAAAGCCGCAGACAAATCGCGAAAACTGCGCCAAGTGCCAGCGACGTCGACAAATCCTAAAGCTGGCCCAGGACGAACTGTAACTGCGACAGCAAAAGCAACGGCAGCGACGACGGCAACGGCGACGCCAACTCTCCCAGATCTCTCTTTTGGCAGAGCTTCACAAGGGTTGGCCTCGGCTCGCGCTCGGCTTCGGCTTGGGCTTGGGCTTGGGCTTCGACTTCGGCCAATGGCCCTCGGAGTTTGACGCTTCGTGAGCCGGCGCTCGTATATAGAGAATGTAAAGAGGCTTACTTCAGCTTCCGCGCAAGTCCTGCCGCACTTGAAACCACCAAATTGAAGCGCACTACAACAGCAGCAACAACAACAGCAATGCCCAAATAGTTTGCGCCAGGCACAGTGGGACGAGCATTGATTAAACTGAACTTTAACTTGTAAATTGCAAATTTAAAAAATATATGAATGCGTAAATAAATTAAATTTGTGATATGTATGATCATTTATATATTATAATATATGTACACATATAAATCACGATTTGCTTTTCCTCTATTAATCATATTACTTACTACACACATACATATATTTTTCCATTATCGCACTTTAGCTTTGGTTTACTTAAGCTCCACTTGCAGCAACTACAGTTACAGTGTATATACATATGTATGTACGTATATATGTGCCACTGTGCAATAGACTTTGTGCTTCTTGTCGAATATTAATGTAATCCATAAAATGCTATCTGTGTTGTTGTTTGGGAAATAGCGGGAATGGGAAAGAATAAAGGGGGAGGGCGATGGATGCATGGCAATGCAAGGCGCATGCGTTACAAATCAAGCAAAACATATGGCAGACAGTGAGCATACTATTGTAACACAGCTACAACTGTGTGTGTGTGTGTGTATTTATCAGCCGCTGTGAATATGTGGCCCGCGGCCCTTTGCTTATCAGCTGCATTCGTTCCGTTCTCAAAAGGAAATTTTAACAGAATTGCCACATTGCGCTCTGCCCAATTACGCTCTCACGCTGGCTGCGTCGCGAGCTGCGACGCGTCGACCCGGTCCTTGGCTCTCGCGAATTGAGACGGCGGCAGCGTCCAACAGGCGTAAACAGCTGTCAAATGTTTGTTGACACTCGCACGCACACCCGCATCCCGTTAGCCCGCTCTCTCACAGTACGCGTCCCCCTCTCATTCGCTCTCTCTATCCATATCTCTCTGCACATCTCCTTCTGTTTTAGCTTGCTGAGCCTTGCAAATTGTAAATATATGCATTACTTTTTGATTATTATTATTCTTTATGCTGGCTATCTCGCTCGTGCACATGTAATTGTATCCTGTCAACATTTGCTTTTGTTTTGCTTTGATTGGTTTTGTTGTGGCTGCTTTGCTTGCTGCGGCTGATGCTGCTGTTTGTTGTTGTTGGTGTTGGTGTTGCTGTTGTTGTTTTTGCTTGTGTCATTTACTGATTGCCGTTTTTCTTTTGTTTTTTAATTAGCTGCGTGTACCGTTTGAGTAGTTTTTAATCAAGCGCAGCTGTAGATCTATATATGAGTGTATGTATGTACGATTCTATATTAATGATTTCTGCTGCATTTGCTGCTCTGTTTTTTTTTTTTTTTTTAGTTAGTGGGCCCTAACGGTAATTTTCAAGCTAAATTGCATTTAATGCTGGCACTTTTGCAAAATTATGGCAACTGTTTTTTCGGCTATTTTCTAGGAAAAGTTTTTTGCATGGGGTCAAACAAAATCGTTCGGAGAAGCAGCAGACAAGAATCTTTGGAAGTAAATACAATAAAGAACGACAAAAAATTTTTTTTTTTTTTTTACTATTTGCACATATTTTTGTAACATTTATATAAAAAATTAAATATTTATTATTTTTACTCTTTATACTCTGACTATAGCTTGATAGATAATCCAATGAAAGCAAAGAGATAAATACGGCTTTTCGATATGCTACGCCGACTGACCTATAGATAAGGCACACAAAGGCCGTTGTATCTTTAACTGCGCAGATCGCGATGTGCGTGACGAACCAGAAGCCCAGAGAACATTGCAAAGACCGGGGTAACACCGACCGTGCAATGCTCTTTATCAATGTTAAAAATGTAATGGGAAAAAAAAAAAAACAATACTAAATTCAATATTTATATATATTTTACAGTTAAATAAATCAAATACCTTTAGCGCATCGACTGTGAAATATTATTATTCAATATATAAATATTATTATAAAATCAACATCGATCTACAGTTCTTTACTCAAACTTTCAGTGTCAGAAATTACTAAAGCTCTTCTACCCAATATACCCGATTACCCGATATATAAGAAAAATTTATTGTTTTTTTGTTGTTTAGTTTTTTGTTTGCTGACAACATCTTCTGCTGCTACACGTGTTCCCAATGTATTTTCGCACAGATGACGCTTATCGAGTGGGCAACAGCAACAACAACGACCCAAAAAAAAAAGGGCAAACAAACAGTTCGGCTTGAACCGCAGCTTCGATTTGCATTTTGCATTTTGCATTTCGCTAATCCAAATCAAATACTGTTTTCTTTGTATTGTAACGGTACATCTGATCGCTCTCCTTTTGTTTCGCAAAACGGCAGCACGATATGTAACGCATAACGGTACTACATTGCCATTTTGAAAGCATCCTCAGCCATCTTTGATCATAAACTTATAATTTACAGTTAGACTCACCTTTATCAATCGCTGTTAGCTCCAAACTCACTGAATGTCAAAACACAAATTTAAATTAAACTTCATTTAATATTTATTTATGCCAATTTTATTTGTGGTTTTATTGTTTCTGCTCTCGCTTTTGCTTTTTTAAGAATTCGCAACTTTTAAATTGATTAATTTCAATTTGCATAAGGCGCGAGGAATTTTCAATTCGTTCCCCTCGCACTCTTATTGTTTTAACTGTTTCAATTTATTAATTATCGTTCACATAAACAACAACAATATCGTCAACAATAAAAAAAAAAAATAATCAACAAAAAAAATGAAAAAACTAACAGATGTCGATCGGTAATTTGCGAACAACGGACACGCACATCCAGCAACGCACGCGATTGATAAACAACTGATGTTTTGGCGCGCGAGTGCATACGCTGTGCGACCAGGCGCTGTTAAATATATAAATACCGAAAAGAAATACCAAGCAACTGGTCTAACAGCTGATCAGTCAGCAGGCTCAACATGTTAATGTACACAGCAAAAGCTGTGCGGCCTAACAGAATTGCTCCACCGGCTGCTGTTAGCCAAACAGGCTCACAATTTTAACACACAGCACAAGCTCACTGTTAAAAGACAGTACTTCGAAATTCTGTGCATCTTAACAGTGCTGCTCCTCACTTAACAGACTGTGGATATCCTAGTAAATCCAAAAGCTATATTATATTAATTTGTGAAATAACTAAATTTCATTTAGTGTTAGTTATTAATACACATATTGGTAACAAAATACAATTCAAAATTTAAAAAAAAAAGTACTTCAACTTTACCCCAGATGGGACTCGAACCCACAATCCCCGGCTTAGGAGGCCGATGCCTTATCCATTAGGCCACTGGGGCTTGTTCACATCACGAACAAAACTCGCCTATAAGCTACGAGCAAGGTATAAAAACAACAAAAAATATACACGCTGCGAAAAATCCCACACAGTTGTGAAAACAAAACGTTTTTTGTGATCCAAAACAAAAGTATTTAAAAAAATTACTAATATTTTATCGTTCATAAATAGATTTTGCTTCTTCAAATAACATTCAAATTAAATAACTAAACCTACACTTGATGGAATTCAGAATCTAGACAAAACGTCTGTAGTTGGCCCTCAATTCCAATTAATTTGTCAACTCGCCATCGACGGCCTGCCAAAAGGGCTCTGAGAACGTATCGGATTCTGCATCCTCTGCTGGCCCAGCTGGTGAGGACAATTCCAGTGACTCTGCCTCATCATAGTCCAGCAGCCAATCGTGATTGGATCTGTTACAGGCTCGATGTAAATTCGGCGCGCTGCAGGCCACGGCGGCTGCAGCAGCAGCAGTTGCTGCAGTAGCATTCCCGCCTGTTGCTACATTTGGTTCGCTGGCCTTGTCGCTGGGTCTGTTGCTGCTGGCCATGCGCGCTGCTTTGGGTAGTGCATTGATGCCATCCAAGGCGCGCTGATACGTGGCATCCAGTCTGTAAAAGTTCACCTTATGAGTAAACCGAGACAGAGAAAACGAGAAAGAAAGAGAAGGAGAGAGAACTGACCTCAATGAAAGCGTAAAGTATTGCAGAGCAGCATCCAGATCTTTCTCCTTGCTTAGCATCTCGCCCAGCATGGCAAAGAGCATGGCATCTGGTCGATACTCCACCTGTTTCTTGAGCAGCGCAATCGCCTTCCTAATGTCCCCCTCGCCCTGGTAGATGCTCGCCAAGAGGGCAATGCCCGGCGCATAGTGCTCATCGATTTGCAAGCCCTTCTCCACAAACCGTTTGGCACTGCGCACGGCATTCGGATTGGCCAGACGGAACAGGGTGCCGGCAAACATGGTGAAGCTGCGCGCAGATGTTGGGAATTGGCGCACGGCCACGGTGCAGGTGGCTTGGGCCTCCTTGATGCACTTCAGGCGCACATAGCAGGCGACCAGGCCCTTGTACACCTCGAAGCGATACGGTGCCAGGCATTGGATACTCTGGAACACATTGACCGCATCTCGCTGGCGCTGCATCATGAAATAGAGTCCGGCACGCAGCAGCAGCGCCTCGATGTTGCGCTCGTCCATGTCCAGGGCGCGCTCCGTGAAGCTCAGGGCACGCTCGTATTTGCCGCTCGAGTAGGTCAACTGTGCGTGCAGGAACCAGTGTGCGGATCGAAACTCTCGGGTGCGTCGCATCTCGAGCGGGGCTATCAGAGTGCTACGCTCCAGCTTCTTCTTGTTGCGATCGTACACAACGGCCAGCGAGGTGAGGGCATTTACATTATACGGATTCTGCATCATAGCCAGGCTTAAATACTGCTCAGCGTGCAGATAGTTGCCGTCATAATAGAGACAGTTGCCAATTTTCGTCAGGATATGCTCATTCTGGTGGAGTTGTTGTGTTTCGTTCAGCTGCT